GTGAGCAGAGGCTTGTGGCAGGGTCAGGGGTGCACACACGTTACCCCTCCCTCTCAGAGGGGTAACACGGAGCTGTATAAGGTCTCCCAGGAACCACAGACTAGGGGCTGGGAGCTGATGGAGACAGGAGACCAGCTGAGCCAGCGAGATGCCCAGCACAGGCTGCCTCCCTCCCGCCAGGACAGAGCAGGGAGCTCCGGGGTCCATAACGAGCTGGAGTGACTTGTTAGCACTGAATTAAGAGGCTTGGTGGAAGGAAGCGCACGGGTGACACAAGCTGTGTGGGGCAGGCGGGAGCTGAGCGATAGCAGCTGGAATCCCCAGCAATCTGGTGAGCACGGCTCAGCCTCACGCTCCTGGCTTGCCACGATCGGCCTCGACAGCCCCTGACAGTTGGCATTAATCACGCACATCGCCCCAACACAACTCTTTACTGGCCATCAATTTCCTGTGGGTTTTAAAACTAAAAAACAAAGACAAAACCGCGTCGTTTGGCCGCCACTGAGAAGCACATTAAGGGGCTGTCAGCTTCTCGCCATGCACCCTGCATCACTCTTTAAGCACATGAGAAGTTCATTATCCCCGGAGCTCTGGCAGCCATGGGGAGACTGGAGCAGGGAGCGTCGCAAAGGTGCTGCTGCCCTCAGCTGTGTCTGCTGGCTCCTTGGCCCTCCTGGCAGCCCCACGGGGGCCGAGGGTCCAGGCAAAGAGGAGTGTGGCTGTAGGGGGGCTGGAGGCTGCTCCATGGCAGGACAGGGCACTCCTGGCCACAGAGCTTTGCTGGGCTCTGACGAGAGCAGACTTTCCTGATGGTCCTTGCAGGATGACACTGCACCTACACCATGGGGATGAGCATCTTTGTCCCCTGACAGCCTGACACACGTTTACCAGCCTGTGGGTGCTCCCTGACAGCCTGAGCTGCACTCCCCAGCTTGGTAACATCTCCGGCAGCCCAATCCCACGCCTGCCATAGTTTGTGGATGCTCCCTGGCAGCCTGACACGGAGCTCTCTTTAACATGAGCCCATGTAAAAAAGCAACAGCTCGTTTGATTTATGATACTTCAGAACAACTAAGATTCAATTGCTCTGCACGTCCCTGGCTCTGATTACCTCCTAAATGAGATAAACTGATGGCAATTTATCCCCAGACCTCACCAACTTTCCCAGGATGCTAACCTGAGCTGCTCGTGCCTAGCTCACGGGCGTGGGGTGGGTGCAGGCAGGTGCAGGCAGCCTGAGCACAGCACAAACCTGTCCCTCACATACCCCTGGGCTGCTTCTGCCTGCAGGGATGCTGTGACAGAGGCTGAGCCTGATACCCTGCCTGGCCCCATGCAGCTCCTGGTGGGTGGGAAGTTTTGGTGGGGTGTCCCTCCACAGTAGTCCCTGCACCAGCACAGCCACACTGACGTGAGCTAATGGAAACCACGGCTCCACATTGGGCTGTCCCCATGTTCCTGCCACAACAGTGAACCCTCCGCAGAGGGATGAGCACCACAGGGGAACAGCAGCTTGGCCACAAGGGATGGCAGCTCTGCCACAGCACCCAGCAGCCCTGCTCCTGGTGCAGCAATTTCACACTTTCACCGTGTGTTGACTATGTGGAAGCAAAAAACTTGAATTGCCTGCTCTGAAAAAAACTGCCCTAACTGTTCAAAAGCAGCCAGAAAAGATTCAAGGGTGTATCAGTTGTACTTATGGACACCAGTCCATGGCACAAACCATCAGCTGTGCCCATGGTGTGGGGCAATGCTCAGCCCAGGGTTCACAGCTGGACCATGCAGACATTGGGATGGGACCTCAAGCAGAGGCTCAGCACCTCCTTGTACTTGTTGCTGGTCTCCTGCCAGTAATGCAGGACAGCAACCCATCACAGGTGTCCACCTGAGCACCAGCCCCAGAGTCACCTGCTCCTCTGCCTCTGCCCTGGCCTGCTGGTCCTGGCAACGAGCTGCTGCAGTGTCCAGAGCCGAGTCAGTTCTTGCAGCAGTCCTGGAGCTCAGAGCAGGAGACCAACCAAGTCACTCACAAAGGCACCAGGGGCAGGAGCCATGCAGCAGACATGTGGCAGGCAGGGAATGAAATGGATGTGTGACCTAGGTCCATAATTCACACTGAGCACAGGGATGCACACAGTCCTCTCTTGACCAGGATGTCCTCTTCACACCAAAATGGGGCACACAGCTCATTGATGCTGCAACTGGCTAAAACCAAGCTGGGAAGCTCCAAGTGCAGCAACAGCGGCCGCTCCCATGGACTCCAAGCACGGTTCTACTGGCACAGATGCTGCCCACAACAGCAGGTCCTGTTGATGCAGGGCAAGCTGGGAGCATGACAGAACTGACCCAGCCTCTGGAACTCCAATTTTGCAATTGGATCAAATTTCTAATATTTCTAGATTATTTCAAAACATAAATGCAAATTCAGTTTGTCAATACCTGACCAAAAGCCAGAAACTCACAATGCAGCAGCCCACAGCACCCCTGTGCCTCAGCACAGGGCAGGGAGCAGCTAGTTCCGTCAGCTCTGCCCAACCTCAGCACTGAGCTAGCAGATGTTGCACCCAGTCACCCACTGGAGAAGGACACAAGGGCTTGGTAAGTCTGCATTCACGCTGGAGACAGGGAGGATGGGCTGCCTGTGTGCCTGCAGGTTACAGATGCCCCTTCTGCTGTGCCGTGCTCTCCTCACCCCTCCCATGGTGCTCGCACCGGTCCTTCCCTCTGCAACCCCGGAGCAGCTCAGCCACCTGCTGCCATGTGCTTTGGCACCAGCAGCTCTCAGAGCGGGGATTCCTCCTGCTCCTGGTACCGGTGCCAGAGGCGCTGGCAGCCGGAGGATCCACAATCTGCGAGGTCTGTGCAGCGACAGATGAAGTTTGGTAACTTCGCTGGCAAATGAAGTTCTGTGTTGATAAATGCCAAGGAATGCACATTGTAGAAAAAAGTTACATTGCTGGAACACCTGATAGGGCTTTAAATTAACCATATCAACCTGAGACAGGGCCTGGGTAACACTTTAGGTGAGACAGACCTCTGCCCAGCTCACCACCACAGCCAAGGACCAGCGCAGGAAACAACGGAAATGCTCTGATGCCCTCGTGCTTGCCACATGTCTCCACCCCCATCACTCCACTTCCCGGGATGCTGCCAAACCAGGAAGGACAGAAATAGTGAGTGTGTGTCTGAAAAACCATCCCTATGAAATGATGGAAAAACTGGGATTGTTCAAAGACTCCTGTCCTGGGCACACAAGGAGAGGGGTGACAGTCCTCTAGCCTGTGCATCTGGGAGCAGAGGGCTGGGAATTCTGCCAAGCACACACGTGTTGTTGAAAAGGAACTAATCAAATTTTAAGACTTCAAGCAGTGGTTAGTCTGTGTTACTGCTTCATAAAAGTGTTCCCACATTCAATTACCTTTTCCACTAGGAAATTGCATTACATTCTGTGTAACGTGAGGTCCCAGCATCTGCACCTCTCACATTCCGTCAGCTGCGCTGAGCAGCCGCAGGACCCAGACCTCCCTGATGCTGACACATCAGTCCTGTGCTTCTTGGTCTTTGTTGTGGTCAGATGAGAAAATGTCCACATCATAAACCAAATCAGCTTTGGGATCAGAGGTCAGCTTTGGGACCTCCTCTATAACTCTTTCTTAGCATTTTATTTACAGGATAGGACATACTACTCCAGCACGTGCTTTCTTAGTCTTACGTGTGGGGGTGCAAGATCATCCCCTCCTTCACTATCCCTCTATTCACACAAAGAATGAGCCTCTCCTTTGACCAAGCACTGGGCTGAGAACTGCAAACCAATTTGGGAAGGGCAACAATGGGTCTGAAGAGACAACATACACACAGAGCTAAGAACGAAGTGCAACTACAGGCAACGCTTCTTGCTACCCAAGGGACACCAGTCTGACAGACTCTAATGATGCTCAAGGTGCCTCAGCCACTGCAGAGGTGAAGCCTGTCTTAGATTTGGTGCATTTCAGATGCAGACAACTACAACAGCAAAAGAGGAGCCACAGAGCTGCACATCATCAAAGCAATGACTCCAAGAAAAAGAACTTGAGCTGTTCTGCTATGGGACACCTGGGCTGCTGGACTGCAGGCAGAGATGAGATTTGGAGAAAGATGCCAGGACAGCTGCAGCACCTTCAGGTACAGGCTAATATTTCCTGGTTTGTTTTGCAGCAACTGTTAGCTTCAAACACTTGTACTGAACCCTGCTCCCCTCTGAATTACAGCTTTACTTCGAGTAAGTTATTGAGTGCTGTGGGACAGGATGACCAAGAGTAAAGTCAAATCTCACTTTTTCCAGTGGTTAACCACAGATGCAGGCTTTGCAGAACATGGCTGCCAGGCTCATCTCTGCCTGGACAAATTTGGTGTCTTTTCCCAGCAAAATGCTTCCCCATGCCTTGCAGCCTTCCTGTCAAGTTTTGGGTCCCTCTTCAGCAACCACAGACACCAGAATTTCTCAACACAAATCTATCGGTACTCTGAGCATTGGGAAAGCAACGCTTCAACCTTCAGCTTCAGCTGAAGAAGACAAGCTTTTCTAAAGGACTCTTGTCTTCAGGCAGGTGCCCAGCAGAGGTCTTTTAAACTATGGAAGTTTGGCCAATTTACAAGTCAATGGAAATAGGTCCTTGCGGTGGAAAGTGTCTGAGAGCACACCTCAACCATATGGTGCGCTTTCAGGTCTGCTACTAGAGTTAACAATTTTAATTACCAGTGACTGTCTGTGCACACACAGGCATGATGGTGGTTCTGCACAGCATGTGGGAAATGGAGGGAAAGGCATATCAGAGAAGCTGGCTGCTTTTTCCTCAGCCCAAGCTACTTGGACAAGGAGTGCTCTGAGCCCCAAGTCACCACTGAGCCCCGCATGAGAAGTACTGCAAGCCCCAGGCACTCAGAGAGCTCCGCAGGATGCTTGGCTGCCTGGCACTCTGAACACTGAGCCAGCAGAGCTGCCCCTCGCAGACCCTTCCTACCTTCTGCTGCCGTGCTGGGGCCATCAAGCCGAGTTGTCCCCGTGCTCTTTTTCCTGCGATGCTTTTTCCTGTTGGCATGTGGTGACGGAGGCGGTTCCAGCTTTGGGCTGGCGGCACTGGAAATGTTTGGGCTGGAGCTGAGTGAGTCGGCAGTACCGTTAGCTGGGGACAAAAATCAAGCAAGTCATGTACAGTGGGACAGTGACAGTCTCCTCTTTCCAGAGACACTGAAGAGTTCTGGAGCCAGCTCCAGTACTTGGCTGGCTCGACCCAAGCAACTCCACGAGACAGGGCAGGACCTGCCCAGCTCTGTGGCACAGGGCCACTCCCACACCCACTGCAGAGCTCAGGGCTGGCAGCTCCTCGGGCAGCCAGGCTGGATCCGCTCCCCATCGGGACCCATGCAGAGCGATCACACAGGGACAGCGCCGGCACCCGCGCAGCCGGACACGCGCAGCAGCACCTCTGGAGCAGCCAGAGATATCCCACCCCCAAATGCACGTTCCCAGGGAAGCAGTTCCCTCGCAGGGCAGCGTCCTCACAGGGCTGGACAAGCGCTTTGGGGAGGGACAGGCCCAGAAGGTGATCCTGGCCTCCCAGGGGCAGATCCAGCCCCCAGGATCTGCAGAGCCTCTGCAGAAGCACTGCCCTCCCAGCACTGCTCTGCCAGACGAGGTGACTGGGGTTGCCACACTCAGGAACCCGAGCATGATGGGCTCAATAGGCTTCCGATACGGAGCTGAAGAAGCTGCATCCCCAGCAGCAACGCACCAAATTTATCCTCAATCATACTGTTCCTTACAATTAATAGCAGAATTAGAAACAATCAGGGAGCTGCCTAATTACTGTCAATTAGAGTGCGCTAATCAAGCTCCGATCACACACACACACGCTGCCGCTGCACTCACCATTAAATGTCAAATTTCATTAGAGACCAGCAACAAAATCAAAAGCCTGACATTCAATTTCAGCAGCACACACAGCGCAGGCTTCCAATCAGCATAAAAATGCAGACTCCGGGGAAGGCAACGAGGCGCAGGAGCCCTCGCTGCACTGTTAACCCTCTCCTAAATCCACTCCTGCCTCTCCAGTGTCCACCCACCCCCAGGGCATAGATGGCAGCTCCATGCCCAGGACCTCTGCCCCAGGCAGCTTGCCATCCTCTCTGCCACAGTCCAGTGTCTCCATCAAGTCCTGACTTCCCATTTCCATGTTCTGTGGCACCTGGAGTTAAAAAAGGAATCACCGCATTGCACAAGGGCAGCAGCTCCAGCAGTGGGATGGCAGGGACCTGCCAAGCCTTTCTCCCACCCAGCCCATCCTCTGCTCCCTTGGTTCACCCTGGTTTGGTCAGACTGGATTTTGGGGCTTAATCTCAACAAACACCAACAGGGGGTGGAGGCACAGAGGGACACAGGCCAGGACCTGCCCCAGGCAAGGACTGAGGTGCAGCTGGTGTCCCCCTCACACAGCTGAAAGAGGTTGCAGCATTGGAGCTCTCCCAGCTCTGGTTTCTCCTGCACTGGCACACACCAGTAGGGTGTTTCTGCTGCTATCTATCCATGGGGAAATAGCTCACCCTTGACAATTAAGAGAGATAAATCTAATAAAATCAGACTCCAGTTTTCTACATATAAATTACTGATCCTGCTACAGGACTGTGCTTAGAGCAGGTGTGAAGCACCTTCAGCTCCCAGCCATATGTCACAGGGGACCTGAACTTTCTCATCAGTAGTTACATGTGGTGCCTCCATCCTCCCTCTGCTGCCCACCTGCTCACCAGGATGCTCCTTGGGCCAAATCCCACACCTCTGGCACCCTGCCCTGCTCCAGGCTCAGTGACAGGGGCCACACATTTCTGCATTCCTCCTGCCGTGAGCCTGGCAGCTCCTTTCACCCACGTCCCTGCTCTTACTGCCCAGCAGCCAACGCCAGAGCTGGGGACTTGCAGGGCCCCTGTAGGATGGGGGCAGGATGGGGTGGGGGCACCATATGCAACACACTCCCTCTGCTAGAACAGGCATTGCTCACTCTCCTTCCCCAGTAGGACATTTGAACCCTCTGACCCACCCAAGGACTTCCAGAGCCCCATCTCTCCCCGCTGTGGAAGGGAACCTTTCACAGGCACACCTGGGACCTCCAAACCAGTAAACCTTAGTGAAGGACCCCAGGACCCCACAGGTGGACTGCAGAGCTCCTGCATAAGGGACAGATATAGAATGTGCTGGAACATGTTTATATGACTGTACGGCCCCATCCCATTGCTCTTCCATGTACTCTCCAGGGCACAGCCAGAGCAGACATCCTGTCCCCAGGAGCTGGGATGGCAGCTTACAGCCTTGCTACATGCCCAAAATCAGCTCTGAGCACAGGAAAATTCCTCACCTGCCCTGCCATGCAGAACTGGAAACACAGCAGAGCCTGGACACTGGCAGAGCTGGGGCTCAGGGGTGGTGCAGGACAGCCTCACTCAGCTCAGCTCCTTGATGGAGGGGTGGTTGTGCTGCTCAGTTCAGCACGTGCTGCCATGTGGAAAGCGCTGCCCACCCAACAAAGGCCTCCTCCTTCATGACACTGAGAATCCACTTCTGTCAGCTGTGGCTGTGGGGGACACAGAGCAGGGATGCAGTGCTGGGAACTGCCTGGAACGCAGGGCTTGGGGTCCAGCACAGTGTGGTGGGACCTGAGAGTAGGTGAACAGCCACCATGCAGGACCACAGTGAGCACTGAGATGACGTCTCACCTCTCCACGTCACTGGCAGGAGCAGCAGCATAGAATCACAGAATGGTTTGGGTTGGAAGGGACCAAAGTCACCAAGTGCCACCCCCTGCCATGGGCAGGGACCCCTTCCACTGTCCCAGGCTGCTCCAAGCCCTGTCCAGCCTGGTCTTGAACACTTCCAGGGATGGGACCACCACAGCTTCTCTGGGAATCCTGTTGATTTTCACCATCCTTTCCTTATAAAACATCTCTTCCTTATATCTAGTCTAAACCCACCCACTTTTAGTTTAAGAACATTATTCCTTTTCTGCTACAACAGATCGTGCAGATCAGCTCTCGTTTGAGTCTTCAGTTACTGTGCACAGAGGAGGGAGATTGGTCCAGGTGCTGTGAGCATGGACAGCTCCTCCATGGACAGGAACAGGACAGGAAGCAGAAGGATGGGGGCAGATGGACAAGGGGCAGAAGGACAGGGAGCAGAGGGGTGGGGGCATGGGCTGGCTTGCTCTCCTGTGCCACCCAGGGAAGAGCAGGGCACAGCACCAGCACACCAGCGCCCGGCTCCACAGAGGAGCTGCTGGGAGGAAGGATGAGACCTGCCATGACAGCTCCTGGGGCAGGAGGGAACTGGGGCAAGGAGCCGCTCTCCAGAGGGCTCACGTCCCAAAACCGATCTGTGCCAAGGCATGTGCCAAGGCAGTGCTGCACGAGGGCATCAGACACGCTGCTGTGCAGACGGGGCTTGGAGATCCCGCTGCCTGCGCTCACGGCTCCTGGGGGCCAGGCCAGGTGGGACCCTGTCCTGGCCCGGAGACAGGCAGACACTCTCATGTCCTGTCCCCCCAGCACTGTGCTCCCCCCAGCACTGTGCTCCCCTCAGCACTCTGCTCCCCCTGTAACTCTGCTCCCCCCAGCACTGTGCTCCCCTGTAACTCTGCTCCCCTCAGCACTCTGCTCCCCCCAGCACTGTGCCCCCCGTAACTCTGCTCCCCTGTAACTCTGCTCCCCCCAGCACTGTGCTCCCCCTGTAACTCTGCTCCCCTCAGCACTCTGCTCCCCTGTAACTCTGCTCCCCCTGTAACTCTGCTCCCCTGTAACTCTGCTCCCCCCAGCACTCTGCTCCCCCCAGCACTGTGCTCCCCCCAGCACTGTGCTCCCCCCAGCACTGTGCCCCCTGTAACTCTGCTCCCCCCAGCACTGTGCTCCCCCTGTAACTCTGCTCCCCCTGTAACTCTGCTCCCCTCAGCACTCTGCTCCCCCCAGCACTGTGCTCCCCCAGCACTGTGCTCCCCCAGCACTCTGCTCCCCTGTAACTCTGCTCCCCCAGA